ATAGATAGATAGATAGATAGATAGATAGATAGATAGATAGATAGATAGATAGATAGATAGATAGATAGATAGATAGATAGATAGATAGATAGATAGATAGATAGATAGATAGATAGATAATCATGTACCATCAAGTCAGTTCTGAATTATGACAACCCTTTCCAGAGTTTTATAGGTAGAGAATACTTAGAAGTGATTTCCCATTCCCTTCCACTAGGGGGTGCCCTGGGACTGTGCAGCTGGCCCATGGCTACACAGGCTGGCTCTTCTCCCTGGAGGGGGGAATTAAACTCCCAACCTCTGGTTCCACAGCTAGATACCTAAACCATTGGTCTATCTAGCCAGTGTTATTAATATATTTTTTATATATAAAGTGTATTAATAACACTGGCTATAGATAGATAGATAGATAGATAGATAACGTGTGTTAATAACACTGGCTGGATAGGGCCCCCACCAAACACACCTGTAAAGGTTTCGAGACTGAGAAAAAGGCTTCATCGTGGAGCGGGGTAATCATCAAACGAGGCACCACTGTATTTAAGGTGTGGTTTTTCCAGTTCCACTCCCGCAGTGGATTTCCGTGGCTGAGCCGGAATTCGAACCCTAGTCTCCAGAGCCCTAGTCCATCACTCCATCCGCTACACCCCACTGGGTTCCCTCTCAACCACCTCAATCAAAACCACCCAGCGTTGACAGTCAGGAATTCGTGGAGCCGATGGTGCAACAGGCCCTCCCTGCCAGGAGGAGATTTCAGCACCACGGAGAGCTCCCGCAACGACACCCAAGACCTGCCCATCTCCGGATCAAGTTGGCAAGTGATGCTCGGAGTTCCATCCATCAGAAGGAGGCGACACAGAGAACGGCAGCTCTCGGGATAACCACTTGATAACCCTTTGTTGTTCGAGTCACTGCATTTCCCAGAGTGATTTGAGGACACGGAGCAGAACATACTTGCTCTGCCGCGGACGACAGCAAGCACATCACTCCAGCACAACCCTCCCTAGAGCGTGAGAACCCAAGCATCCTCTTTATCTGAAACTGCTGATACTGCCTATACCGAAGACGGTAGTTGTTGTTTTTTTTCCTCCTGAGTCCTTGTCATTTCCTTCACGGCCTGCCACCTCACCTCCTGCCTTTCCTAAGGGCCCTGTCACAACAGATCGCCCTTTTCTCCATGAGGGGAACCAACCCAGAAGGACAGTGGTTCAAGGTGGGGAAGATAGATTCCAGATTGTCCACCGCAGAGTCCTCTCCACGTACCTCTCCCCTGAAGGAAAAGAGGGTAGGCGTTGAGCGTAGGTGGCTCGAACTTGTCAACGGCACCTGGAAACCACGAGTTGGAGCAAATCGGCCGTCAAACCCTCAGCTCAGTTCGTGTCTCAGGGTTGGGAGCAGATGGGAGACGCAGAAAATGGAAGCAGGGGCCAGGGGGGAACTCATCCCCTTGGGAATAAGGCTGATCACGCAGAAAATGGAAGCAGGGGCCAGGGGGAACTCATCCCCTTAGGGATAAGGCTGATCAGAAGCCGCCACAGTGGTCGCAAGACCAGATAGGCAGGGTATGAATGAATGAATGAATGAATGAATGAATGAATGAATGAATGAATGAATGAATGAAGGAAGGAAGGAAGGAAGGAAGGAAGGAAGGACGGAAGGA